AAGGTTCGGGGCTTTTTGCTTCAGCGGAGTCAACAAGGAAAGGAGAAGCCGGAGCTCCAAGTGCATCGGCCAGGGCGGCATCACTCGCCTTCTGTGCAGCTAGAACTAGGGCATCATTCGGGGTCTGGGAAGCTAGGGCATTGATCGGATTCTCTGTGGCTAGGGGATCGCTCGGGGTCTTCACGGCTTTGGCATCAATCTCCGTGGCCAGGGGATCGCTCGGGGTCTTCAGGGCTTCGGCATCAATCTCCTCGGCTAGGGGATCGCTGGGGGTCTTCATGGCTTCGGCATCAATCTCCGTGGCTAGGGGATCGCTGCGGGTCTTCATGGCTACCTTCTCGGGGGCACTGGCCTCATCCAAGGCAATGGCCTCATCTGCATGGTCGCCAACCGACAAGTGGCTGGCTGCATTCAATCTCTGAAAACCCGGCTTTCCATCTGCACCCTGCAGCTCATGCTGTGCTGGGCCTGCCGGTGAATCGCATCCCTCGTGAGGGTGCTGATTCCATTCTATCGTACTCTGCGTGTCCATATGAGCAACACCTAAGATGATTGCTGTCTGTGCTGCAGTCTTTAGAAACCAGATACGACATGAATCATAATAGGAGAATTCTGCAACCGAGGCACTGTTCCATCGCTGCACAGTCAGCTGGCCGTTCAAAGCAGCTCGGCGATGGGCCAATCTCTGACTCGGCTGCTTGACTTAATTCGCTGGGCACTCCTAGATCACTTTGAAAAGACAACAGCATCAATTGTACTTGTACTGCTAGTCACTCTAATGTAATAGGACAAGATGCTCAATCTCAGCCAGCTGTTTCAGCAAGTCGACTTCGGGATTCGAGGAGCTGCTTGGCTCGGTATGCGGAGCTGAAAGCTTGAAGGGCTCGGGCAAACCATTCTGAGCATTCAGGTCATAAGCAACAGTGCCAACATAAGCAGATGGAGGATCGGGTGAATTGACACCCAAGTCCTCAGCCAGATAAGGGTCGACCGGCTGCAGCCGATCCTCCTCATCATCCGGCTCTGTCATCGCCTCGGCCTCCTCTTCATCCTCCCGTTAGGGTTTAGGGTTTAGGGTTCAGGGTTTAGGGTTCAGGGTTTAGGGTTTAGGGTTTAGGGTAATCCCAGCCTCAAAATACCCAGACCCTTAAACTCTATGCGTGAAGCCTTCCTCTTGCCCTCGCCCTATTTCCCAAATACCTAAAGCATGGTACACCCCTAAACCCCTAAATGCTCGCGAAACCCGAGCCGTGTGCGTGAACATTCTGGGCCTCGAGCTTTGCCTTGGTAGCTAGTTTCTTCATTAAAATAACCGAATCCCAAACCCTCCCCAACCCCCGACCCCAAATCCTGTACCTAAACCTAAACACTAGAAAACCTTTATTATTTGCCGCCGATACCCAGCCCAGCACCTGACTTCGTCACCCCACAAATTTCATCATTAACGAATCCGAGCCAAGCCCTGCCCAACCCCCGATCCTAAAACACTTTACCTAAACCTAAACCCTAGAGTCCCTTTCGTATTTTCTGCGGATACCCATCACCTAACTTCCCCAACTAAATCTCTGCCTCTACATCACCTTCTTCATCCTCCGAAGCTTCATCCTCCTCTGAAACCAAGTGTTTCTTGCTTCGGGGCTTAGGCGGCCAGTGCTTCGCGAGCTCGTCGTAGAGTGCTCGGAGGCGATTGTCCTGGGCAGGGTTTGGTTCGGGTCTAATGCACCATGGCTACTTTCAGTTCTGTACAATGCAGAAAAGAATCCTTTCGTTTGCTGCCATCATGCCGGCGGTTCATAAAGGTAAGGAACATCTTCAGCGAATGGCTCTCACAATGAACCAGGCCCGTTCTCGGGGTCACATCAATCTCCTCGTAGAACTTTTGAACCTAGAAAGGTTTGAGGACTGACGATGCTGCAATGTTCAATAGCAATAGTTCCACTCAAGCAGCAAAGAACAAAAT